ACCAGTATCAACACGCTGAGCAAGCACGTTCAAAAGGGTAGTCTTACCAGCACCCGACTCACCCATTAAGGCAGTAAGTTTTCCAGGCTTTACAAAACCATTAACTCCGCTCAACAATCGTCGCTTTTCGCCTTTAACAGTAATATCATAACTAAGATTTCTCCAGCTGAAAATGTCACGTCCACTTTCAATACTACCAAATTCCTTTTCCACTTCTTCAGGATTTTGAGCTTCTTTAACAACACCACCGCCTTGAGTATCTTGGCCTGTTTCTAAATCCAAAGGTTTTCCGCCTTCCTCAACAGCCTCTTTCACAGTATCAGGTGCATAACCCCGACGGAAAATGAGGAATTCACCTTTAGCATCATTAAAATTCAAAGTCTCGCTGGCAACAACATTTACAAAAATCAAGAAAGCGTAAAAGCCAATGATAATTGCAAAGTTTCTCCATATTTGACGTGTCTTGTAATTAAAGCTGGCAAACAGATAACTTGAACCGTCAACAGAGGTTTGACCAGGTTGGGCACCGACAACAGGGCAGACTTTATACTGAGAGGAAACGTTATCATAGTTACCTCCCGAAGGAATCATTTGAGCGCATTCAAAAGCTTGAGCCTTGAACTCGTTAATCATTAAAGACTCAAAACCAAACTGTACAGGATCTAAATATGAAATCCAACGGAACCACCAACCAACATCAATATTGGGAATAGCATAACCAGTATAGATGGCAATAGCCAAGACACCAATACCACCCAAAGCAGAAGCGGCGGATACGTTAGGCATGATTGCAGCCAACGCTCTGAAAAAAGTAGTCATTGTAAGGGCGCCCATAAGCAAAAAGACGTAAAATGTCCAAAAACCACCGGCAGTACGACGCAAGTCAGTTAGAAAATAAAGAATAATGGAGAAAACAGTAACATTGATAACACGAAAAGGAATATCAACGATAAGGCTACTAATGACATCGGCCGCTGGATGGTAAAGAGCGGAAGAACGGTGCTTAGCAATAATAGGACGTTGAGCAAACATATTGGCAATTTCGGAAAGACTTTGAAGGGCCGTAAATAATATAGCAAAGAAAAGTACACCACCTCGGGAAAACATATCACTTGTATTCTTCTTCATATTGTAAAAGATAGAACCTATGATAAATGACTGAAACATAAAAGCAAAAGCCATGGCTCCAATATAAGCAGGATCATTAATGAATCGTTGCCACGAACGAATTAAACAGTAGCGTAGTTGCATCCAAAAAGTGATAGTGTAAGGAGACTTCTTGGATAAACTCTTTGATTTTTCAGAACGAGCACTTTCACGATACAATTCATGTTTCGTGGCAGCGGACATACTGTCATCGAATTCCTTTGCAGAGTGAGTAGCGGACGAAGGAGAGCTTTCATCCCATTTTCTGTCATATTCATCCATTTCACGAAGAAGCTGGGAATACAAGGGATGCTCATGCCATACACGTTCAAAGTCTTCAGCAGTACGTGGAACACGGTCTTCCCAACCCTCCTTTGGTTTACGAGCTGTGGGATCGGAGATAGCGGTCAAAAAATCGGGAGTGGTTTCACGGGGATGGCAAGTGAAGCCCATATCAAGAAAGTAGTCCTTAGCCTTGGAGGCAGGGCCATAGTAAATTTGACGACCAGAATAAAGGACACAAACTCGATCAAAAAGCTCATAAATTTTTTGACTAGCTTGATAGGCGGTAACAAAGGAAGTCACCTGAAGTTCCTCAGCACAAATACGAAGGTTATTTACGAATTCGTAAGCGGTACTTGAATCCAAACCACGGGTACTATTATCCCAGCAGGCGATGGTTGGTCGAAGAGCAAAGGCCTCACTGATGGTTACACGTTTGCGTTCACCTCCGGATACACCACGAACGAAATCGTTACCAACCTTCGATTTGTAAGTATGTGTAAGACCAAAACTTGTAGCAATGAGATCGCGGACTCGGGCCATGTATTCGCTGCGTGAGAGGTTGCAAGGACGATTACGGGGAGCACGCACACGGGCAGCAAAGTTAATGGTTTCACGGGTAGTGAGTGTGGGAAAGTGGACATCGTTTTCACCGGAATAAAGAACATCACCTGGGTAATGTTTTTTCATTTCGACGGCATCAATGCCGTCATAATGAAGAGAACCTTCTACACCATTATAGTGTTCTGTCTCTCCAGCTACTGATCTCAAGTAAGTAGAACAACCGGCTCCGGGTTGACCCAAAACCATGACAAGCTCACCAGCATTGGCGAGGGCATGGCTATGAGAAAGGATGGCCTTTTTGACGACTTGTCGCTCTTTGAAGTGACGGTAAGGAGCAAGAAAGATGTCAATGAAGGTAGTGAGAAACTCGTAACCAGAGCCCAAACCATAGATACTGGTATCACGCATACAAACACCAGTTGTACGAGATCGAATGCCATCGCGATCGAGGGTATCTTTATAGCCACGAAGGTAGCGTCTTAGATCAAAATCCTCACCTAAAGCGAAAGGATCACCGGTAAGGTGATCCACGGACGAAACAGAAGAGGAAGAAGTAGGAGCATCAGCATGGGGAATATAAGAACCGGACTCATGGTTTTGACTAGCGCGATCTCTGGCTGCAACGGTAGCAGTGGAGGAGATAGAAGAGACGTCCTCATTTTTATCTTGCGCAGTATCGTACGAATCAGGATGAAAACGATTGGAATTGTTATCCACCGAAGCAGCAGATGCGTAAGAGGATTCAGAGGGAGCTGGGGTATGATGAGCGGCGGAAGACATGATGACAATGAAAAAGAAAGTAAAAGGAATTCAGTACTCCTTACAAATTTAGTAGAAATGAATAGGCTATCAAAAGAAATAAGCAATCAGCAGTTAAAGAAAAAAAAAAAAACTGCGAAACCCTGTAAAGATATCCCTTTTTTTTACTAGTTTAAAATAGTCCAATCCAAAAGAAAAGATTCAAAATATAAATACTAATGACCGTAAAACAAACTAATATAATAACGACTAAAAAAAGGAAAGATGAATTAACTGTTAACTTTGCCAATTGTCGCTATTCTCAACAATGCTGCCTGAAAAGAGCAATTGTTTCCGAAAGTAAGCAAGACAAAGAAAAAAGAATTTATAAACTAAAACGGTAAAGGATAAGAACCGTTCAGCGACCCTCACTGAAAAGGACTCCTGCAGGCCTTATAAGTAAATAAATTTGTCGGTGTTTTTAACATCCGCAATGATATCACCGAGTGAAGAAGCACATCCCCAAACACCGAGATGGAAATTTTCAGTAGCGAGGTGAAATACTTTGATAGGCCCGAACAAGCATGATTCGGAGACTAGAAGAATTGCGCGACTTTGTTGCGTTGAGCGAAAAATAAAACCCTTTGAAACTTCTGTTTTGCCACTTCTTCTTTGTCTTTTTAATCTATAAAAATTGTCTTGTAAACACATGGTGGTCTTTTTTTTTTTTTATTCATTTTGTCGCTTGTGTTTCTGTCTCTCTCCTACTGAGTTTAATCAGAGGCTAAAGCTTCTTTCGAATACTGCATTTCACCGCGTCGCTAAATGACGGAGATAACAACGAGGAGAATGGAAGAGAAAAAAGTAGGCAGGGAAAAAAAATAAACGATCAAGCTGTCGACAAAGGAATAAAAAGGAGAATGAAAAGCTATAAATAAGAATTTCTTGAAAGGAATTTGAATAGGATCATTTGAGTTTCCAAATTGCTCTTTTTTTTGTTTACTTTCCTCTCTCGCTTCTTGACACGTCGCATCCGAAACACCTTTGCTAAACACCTCGGCTCGGGGTTATCGACAAGAAATGAAAACCACTGAAAGTACCAGAACTATCTCCATTAGTCATCCTTGAGAAAAGAGATATGTGCTTTTAATTGATTTGTTTACAAGGAAAGTTTAAAACCCATTTCATGGTATATTACCATACGGATTGTTACAAATATGAATTCCGAAGAATCCAAACCCCATAACTGACGAATGTTCAATCTTTGTTTCTGTTGTTTCTTCTCGGAAAAATATCTCTATTTTCTCTCTCTCTCTCTCTCTCTCTACCTTATTCCTTATGACTTGCTTCTTTCGTCTCTGTTAACTTTCGGTTGCGAAAGACTGTATTCTAATCCTAAAGAACCTTTTTAAAATGAACGAAAAATTGCGCTATTACATGATTAAATAAACCAACATGGGAAGTAAATAATGAAGACTAAAAAAAAAAAAAAATAGAGATATATAATGCAAATTAAAAACAATTAGTTGATCATTATGTATACGTATATTTCTTCAATAAATTACATTGCGTCTCTCTATCGTGCTTAACATACTGGCTTCGTTCTCTTTAACCTTTTTTTATGAATCTCTCTCCGAATTCTTATTCACTTCGTCAACGTTCGCTCCTTCCCGTCAACGCCCATTTTGCCTCAGTGCACCTTTTTTTTTGTGTTTCACTCGTTTTTTTTATTGTTTTGCCATTTTTCGGCTGTTTATACAATTTCCTTCAAGGAAAACTTTCTGTTTATTTCTATCTCTCTATTTTTTGTTTGTTTCTGCTCCCGTGTTTCTTCTTTGCGCGTCTTCGTTTCTTTGATTCACCCGACGTTGCATCATCCTTTTATTCATACACAATTGCTTTCTTTCTTTGCCATCTTTCTCTTTTTTTTTCGTTTTTTATGCTTCTCTTCCTGTAGATCTTTTTGTTTGTGTGTACACGTTTGGTTCCTTCCTACTCTTTTTCGTTTGTCGTGGTTTATTCTTTCTTTTTGGTGTTCCTTTTCTTCTCTTTTAGTCTCTTTTTTTTTCGCTTTTGGCTGGTATCCTAGTTGCATTGATTCCCTTTCTCCGCTATGTCCTCCTCCTCCTCTAACCGGAGGCCTTATGCCCTTCGGCGATCTCAACGTTCTATGAATCTTAATCAGGAAACCTTTTTCCCTCCTTCTTCAACTTCCACTAATGCTTCTCCATTTTACTCTCCTCAATCTCCATCGGCTGCCTCTTCTTCTTCCACCGCTAGACCATCTCTCCACTCTTCTCCGTTTTCTCATCCTTCCCAAAACACCTCTACCATGAAACGTTCCTACCTACCTCCCTCTACAGTTTCTCCTTTTGCCCAAACTGCTGTTCCTTCAGTTTCCGACTCTTCTACTACCCTTGCTTCTACCTCTACTTCCTCTCCTTTTTCGCTCTCTTCTCCCTACAAGTTTTCCGGAAGTGCTCCCAAACGCACCTACTTTTCCTCCTCCCTCGCAAAAGGTGCCTCCTCTCCTCCTCCTCCCTCTCTCCTTTCCTCTCCTGCTAATCTTTCTCCTTCCTCTCCTCCTTTTTTATCACCCTATCGCACTCCCTACACTCCTGCACAAAAACTTCGGAAAAAGGATCCTTTTTCATCAATCAAGCATCCTTCCAATATGTCCGCTTCCTCTCGGCCTTCTTCCTTTTCCCCTTTCGCTACTTCTTCCCCTCAGTTCGTTTCTACTTCCACACCCGGTGCTACTGCTGCCGCTCCTCCTCCTCCCCGCTTTCCATCTCACTCCCAGCACCTTCCCTCATCTTCTTCCTCCTCCTCCTTTTTTTTCCCTTCTTCACATGCTTTTACTTCTCCTCAAAAGTCTCCTCACCGTTTCTCCTTTCGCCCAGCTTCGTCTTCAGCAACACATTCTCCTCCTGTCTCCCTGCCGACTCCCAAACGTCCAACCCCTCGTTCTTCTTCTTTTCTGTTTGGTAATTCGAATCCTGCGCCTACTCCCTTTTCTTCCTTAAAACATAATGATTCTCCTAATTTTCACAATCAATCTCGTGATTCATCCTCACATACTGATTCTAATTCATCTTTTAATTCCACTTCGACCCTTTTTCCCAATGCGACTCTCCCAATCCCAAATCCTAGTCATAATCTTTTTACTACCCCGTTTCAACAAGTCAAACCTTCCTCTCAGGCTTTTCTGAGTACGGGTTTGCTTTCCAAACAAAGTAGGCCTCGGAAAACCTTTAATCTCTCTACTCCTTTACCCCCAAGCACACCTTCAAAACCTTCTTCTATTTTCCGCCCTAACATTAATTCAGCCGACTCTCCTCCATCTCCTTCTACACCTTCTAACAGCAACTCTGCGTCTTTTTTCTTACAAGGACAAAGCACACCTACGCATCAAAGCTCTTTCTCTTCCGCAAAACTGGGTAAATCATCTATGGATTTTTTGAGATTTGAACCTCCCTCGTCTACTGTAAAACAACCGCCTGATTCCCAATTAATTGATCCTTCTACTCCTACTCGTAATCCGTTTGATTTTGAGAACTCTTCAATGTGTTTGGACGACATTCATTCATCTGCTCAACACCGCAATAACTGTGAAATATTAGCCGAAATGGAAGAGGAATCTGCAATTTTGGGAAACCCATCCATTGCAAACTCAAATTTATCCTTTCCTTCTGCTCTTACCTCAAAGTCCCCTGAGTCGCCTGCGGATGACTTACATAACCGGTTTCGAAACATTACTTTGCTTGGGAGAGGTGAGTTTAGCGAGGTCTTCCAAGTTGAAGATCCTTTGGAGCGATCTTTAAAGTATGCGGTGAAGAAGTTAAAGGTGAAGTATAGTGGACCCAAAGAGAGGAATCGTTTGTTGCACGAGGTTTCTGTTCAAAGAGCGCTTAAAGGACACGATCATATCGTTGAGTTAATAGACTCTTGGGAATTTAATGGGTATCTTTTTATGCAAGTCGAGTTATGTGAGAATGGTAGTCTTGATAGATTTTTGGAAGAGCAAGGTCAACTTTCTCGATTAGATGAATTTCGAGTTTGGAAGATTCTTGTAGAATTGGCTTTAGGACTGCAGTATATCCATCATAAAAATTTTGTTCACTTGGATTTGAAACCTGCTAATGTCATGATAACGTTTGAAGGGACATTAAAAATTGGTGACTTTGGAATGGCAAGCGTATGGCCAGTTCCAAGAGGTATGGAACGAGAGGGAGACTGTGAATACATTGCTCCTGAAATTTTGTCCAACCATATGTACGACAAGCCTGCAGATATTTTTAGCCTTGGGATAACTGTATTCGAAGCAGCAGCGAATATTGTGCTCCCGGACAATGGTCAATCCTGGCAAAAGCTCCGTTCTGGAGATCTTTCAGATGCGCCGCGGCTTTCTTCCACCGAAGGCTCTAGTAATACTTCATCCTCTCGGGATGTACCGTTAAACAGTATAATTGGACAAGGAGGACTCGACCGTGTTGTTCAATGGATGTTGGCACCAGAACCACGCAATCGACCTACAGTAGATCAAATATTAGCTACTCCAGAGGTTAGTTGGATAGAGCTTCGAAGAAAAGCCGGAGCCATCATTTATGAAGGACTTCATGGATCGTCATCTGCTCCTCAAAGCGATCAAATGATGGAAGACTGGCAAGTCAATGTATAATTGCTTGATGGGATTACAGGATCGTTTATGGTTATTTATTCTTTTCAATAATTTTTTATTACTTATTCGGTGAAGTTTAGGGTCAGAGCATCCCTAACTTAACCTAGAAGATATACACTTGTTTTATATTCATGCTTTTTTATATAACATGTATACTATGAACTAATATAAGGGAACAACGATGATTTTTGGCCTTTTTTTTCTACCAAACAGATTATTTCTGAATGTATTTTTGGGATGTTTTTTATTAGTTTTATTATGAAGGAAACGAAAGGTTGAGCTAATTTTTTTTGGATATGGATAAGATGATCGGTGATTCTGGTTTAGAATTGTTTGTAAATGTTACAACGGCTTTTAAAAAAAACCCCTCCAAATGGTTTAGAGTATACAGTTAATTTGGATTTTTCTTCTCTTGCTGCGTTCCCCTTTTTTGGAAAGGTTTATATATATATCTACATTTTTCTTTCTTTTTTTTTTTTTTTTTTTTTTTTTTTTTTTTTTTTTTTTTTTTGTTTTG